ATCAGTGGCTATTAGCCACAAGGTATAGATAGGGGCTCTGGGGCAAGTGATGCTCTGTCTTCTTGGTGCTTGGGGGGGCCAACAGTGGGAGGGCTTCTACTGTCCTGGCCCCACTGGTGGACCTCCTGATGGCACCTGGTATTTCTGGCCACTGTGTGACACAGAGTGTTGGGCTGGATGTGCCTTTGGCCTGATCCAGCATTGGCGTCTCTTATGTTCTATGTGGCAATGGGCCGCTGATGCTCATTATGGCATAAATAACATCACCTGGTAACCCCTTGGTCAGCCCCCGGGGCAGGACACTTTCCCCCTCCAGGCTGTTGGCAGCCCTCTCACATCATCCTTTCTGCCTGATATACATTTAAAAGTTGTTGTGTGGATGAAACTGGAGAAGAGACATGTACACTGCTCTGAGTTCCTAGTGACCCTGGACTTCTTGGAGGTCTCCCTTCCGAGTACTAGCCAGGGCTGACCCTGCTTAGCTTCCAAGATCTGCTGAGATCAGGCCAGGCGGAACCATCCAGGTGAGGGCAGTGTTCCAACTGTAGGATTGTTAAGTGCCGTCAAGCTGCTTCCAACTTATGGTGACCTTATCAATTAATGACCTTCAAAATGTCCTATCATTAACAGCTTTGCTCAGGTCTTACAAACTGAGGGCCATGGCTTCCTTTGTTGAGCCCATCCATTCCATCTTGGGTCTTCCCCTTTTCCTACTGCCTTCATGTTTGCCTAGCTTTAATGTCTTTTCCAGTGGGTCTTGTTTTCTTGCAGTTTTCAGAGGGTAGCCATGTTGGTCCACTGTAGAACACCTTAGAGACCCATGACAGTTTCAGGGTATAAGCTTGTGAGAGTCTGTGTCTGAAAAAGGGAGCTTTGACTCTCGAAAGCTTACATTCTGAATCGTTTGTTGATCCCTGAGGTACTACTGGTAGGGTTGCCAGCCTCCAGGTGGGGCCTGGAGATCTCCGGCTTTTACAACTGATCTCCAGCTGACAGAGATCAGCTCCCCTGGGGAAAATGGCTGCTTTGAAGGGTGGACTCCAGTGTTCCCTCTAAGCTGAGTTAGTGTGAGCTAGCTCACAGTCTTTTAGCCTCCAGCTCACCTATTTTTGTCTTAGCTCAAGAAGGATGGCTCCAAATTTATGCAGCAGTGAAACTGCTTGCTCACAAGTTTAATGCCAGTAACTCACAAAGTAGATTTTTTTTCTCACAAGACTCCACAGGTTAGAGGGAGCATTGGTGGACTCTATGGCACTGTACCATGCCGAGGCCCCCTCCCCTCCCCAAACCCCACCCTCTCCTAGATCTACCCCAAAAGTCTCCAGGTATTTTCCAACCCAGACCTGGCAACCGTACCAACTGAACTCAAATCGAACTTGTCTTCTCACAATGTGACCCAATGTTCCCACTACAGAATTAAAACCTTGACGCACTATGACTGTAATAAGCCTTGGGGAACCCCCAAGCCCTTTGTAAAACAAAAGAGAGCATGTGTTTTGTGTACTGCTGATATGGTCCTGAGGGATTTTAAAGATCCCCCCCCCAGCCCCTTTTCACAGGAGTATACAGTGTGGTAAGGGAAAGGGCTTCTTCAATTAAGCTTTTGTGTAGGAATATTGCTCTGGAACGCTCCCTGCAGAGTACGATTGTCCTGACCAGTGGGAAGCCCAAATCCAGAGACAGCCACTGTGTTTCCAGGTCATCCATGTGGAAAGAGAAGTAGTTAGCAAACATTTCTTGCCGGAAAATTGCCTTTTTAACCTCTATATGACCCCCCCCCAACACATCCACAACAGATGACAAATTATAAGCTCTGCCGGTCTCGTTCTCATACAATATTTAAAATCAGCTTCCAACCCCCCCCCCTTGCACTGATGCGCCTTACTGTACTTACTCATTTAAAGTTAACAGAATTTCAAAGCTCAGCATAAGAAATTAGTGATAAAACTGGGACACTGACCCTCTCCTGGCCTAGACAGTTTCCCTTGAAACAAAAGAGGCGAGAACACACAGATGGCAAATGAAACTGGAGCTTTGGACGGTAATCCAAGAAAAATGCCTTTTGTTTGTCCCTCGCAAAGAACGAAAGATCAAATTTTGTGTTCGAGACCTGGTTGAACGAAGGCAGAGCTCTGAGTAATTGACAGCTCAAACAGCGTTCCCTCTAAGCTGAGTTAGTGTGAGCTAGCACAGTTTTTTAGCCTCCAGCTCACGCATTTTTGACTTAGCTCAGGAAGGATGGCTCCAGAGCAAACTAATTTATGCAGTAGCCAAATCGTTCGCTCAGTTTTAATGCTAGTCGCTCACAAAGCAGAATTTTTGCTCACAAGACTCCACATCTTAGAGGGAGCATTTACCACCTACATGATGAATAGGGTGGCCAACCTCAAGGCAGGGCCTTCCCAGAATGGCAATTGATCTCCACATTAGAGATCAGTGCCCAACAGGAAATGGCACCTTTAGGGGGGTGAACTAAGAGAAACAAGTCCTAGGCTGCGGTCACACGGAGCATTAGGCACGGAAGATAGGCGGATTTTCCAGGCGCGATCTCACCGCAACATCCGGGAAGCATAGAGCTCCCGTGGCTCACCCGAGGCTTCACTCTGAAGATGCGTGGTAAAAAACTAGTACCTCGGAGGTACTAGTTTCCAGAAATCGCGGGGCAAGGGCGGGCGCGTGATCGCGTTTCCGGTGGAATCCCATGGCATCCGGCGCCCACCCATGTCCTCTTTTTTTCCAAGTGTCCTCGGGATGCGCACAAGCACGCAACGGGGCATGCGCACACATCGATGTACAGAAAAAAACCACCCGTTTGCCGCGCCGCTGGATTGTGGTGTGATCGGCACCTCCCCCCTACCACGGGACCTCCCCGGGAACTCCACGGGATGTCTGCTTGCGCAACTGCGTGTTATTTTGCCCCGGGGCAAACAGCCACGCTTCCCCCCCCCCCCCATTTTTCTCCCCACGCGATCCGCTTTTCCTGCCCATGTGACCGCAGCCCTAGAGAGGCTATGGAGGGTGGGATGTTCTAGGACTCCTATGTTACTCCTATGGGGGAAATATCCTTGCTGAACTCCTTCCCTTCCCCAAGTACTGTTCTCATATCGCCAGAAGTTTCCTGAGATGGAGTTGACAACCCAAACTCTGAATCTCTGGCATCTCTCCTGCTTAATGGGGTTAAACAGGAGATGATGGAACCTGCTGTAGGCTAGGCTGAGAGGGTGTGACAGGCCCAAGGTCATTCCCAACAAGTTTCCACGGCAGACTGGGAACTAGAATCTGGGTCTTCCTGACCCCAGTCTGACACTCCCTTTCCACTCCTCAGCTTTCTTATCAACTGATAAGGTCACCGCTCTGGCTCCTCCTCCATGTCACGCCCCTTCCTTTCTCTCGTTGGTAGCTCTGAACATCAGAACATCAGAGACGCCAATGTTGGATCAGGCCAAAGGCCCATCCAGTCCAACACTCTGTGTCACACAGTGGCCAGAAATACCAGTGCCATCAGGAGGTCCAGCAGTGGGGCCAGGACATTAGAAGCCCTCCCACTGTTGACCCCCCCCAAGCACCAAGAAGACAGAGCATCACTTGCCCCAGAGCCCCTAGCTATACCTTGTGGCTGTGTACCCTGCGCAGCCTGGGTACCCTGCGCAGCTGCCTAGGGGTTAAAGAGGGGTCTTGGCCAAACATTGTTTTGCAGGCTGAATTCAGACAGGTTTCCTTGGAAGCTAAGCATGGCTTTAATGCCTTTAAACTGAGATTAAAACAGCTCTGTGCTGAAGACGGTTTGTTAGCCGCTCTAAATCGAGATACCCACAAATCAACTTGGATGAAAGCCCCGGATGGGGAATTGATGATAGCTGGACTGTCGATCAATTATATATTTGAAATGAGCAAATCCAAAGCATTTTCTCTGATCAAGACGTGTGTCTTAGAAATCAATGATAGTAGCCTGATCTTGAGTCCACAGAGTTTGCTCACTCCTATTTTTAGTCTTTCCTTCCCAAAGATCTTTACCCCCCCCCATGTACTGTCTTACCATCCCACGTTACTGTAGAGCTTTTTTGTTTGCAAGATTGAATATTATAACTACAACAGTCTTACGGGGAGATTTTTGAATAGGCCCTACTCTGACAGAATCTGCCCTTATGGCCTTAATAGGATAGATACATCCTTCCATGCCCTGCTTGAATGCAGGTTCTTTGAGAATATAAGGGATCACTATATTAAGCCTTTAATCAACCAGCCGTCCCCCTACACTCTGGAAACCCTGGCTCTTTTGCTCAGCGATAAGGACCCTAAAATTTACTCTGGCAACTACAAAATTTGTCTCAGCCCTTTTAGCCCTTGCATCAAAAAATAAGAAACAGCAAGTATCACAGCCCTTTTAGCCCTTGCATCAAAAAATATCTTTTGCTGCTGTGAATCAATGAGCTTCTAAAGGTATTAAAGGAGATGATAAAGGAGGGATCTCGGCTCTGGAAATGTTAGAGACCACTGAATTAATGGTATGGTTCTTTAAGCTCACAGCTTCCCTGCCAAGGATCTCGGCTCTGGAAATGTTAGAGACCACTGAATGAATGGTATGGTTCTTTAAGCTCGCGGCTTCCCTGCCAACTGTCTGTTCTTAGTAGAGGCTCCCATCTTTCAGTCTGGGGGATGACATGACTTGTGCCTGAAATACAGGACTTGGGAATGAATGAGGTCCATAGAAGCTGTCTGAACGAGGTAGGAAGCACCAAGGCATTGCCTGAAAGCTCATGTGTTGTCTCCCTTGGTGGTGGTGTTGTTCAGTCACAGAGTCGAGTCCGACTCTTCGTGACCCCATGGACCAGATCACGCCAGGCCTTCCTGTCTTCCGCCGTCCTCTGAAGTTTGCTCAATTTCATGTTCATTGCATCTATGACTTGGTGTTAAGTAGCTTCTTATTCGTTTTCACCCTTGGTAGACTATTCTAGGAGTACAAGTCGTCATCAGTTTTGCCAACTTTGAGTCTGTCTTCCATGGACCCTGAACGGCTCCTCCAGTGTCCCTATGACAAGAACCACCAGATCAGAGCCTGCAGGTTTCCCTACCATTTGGTGAAGTGCAGAGAGGTAAGGAGGAAAGGCTACAGATGGTCATTGGGATGGAAACCACTTCTGTTCTTAACTTGGCTTCAAACAGGTTGGGTGTGAAGAAATAGCTGAAGTCTTGTGGTGGGTCACACAGTCTGTGAGATCATAGCTTGCCTTGCTTCTTAAAAGCAATGAAGGCAAGGTCTGACGTGGGGGGCACTAGACCAGTGGTTCTCAGCTGTGTGCCACTGGTAGGAAGCAGAAGTAGTCAAATGGGATGCAGCGTTTCCCTAAAGCTTACTAAGTATTTGCTCCCCCTCAAAGCTAGTAAGTTCAGCATTTGTATCAATGGGAAGTTATTCCTGAAGTTTCATACAGTAACATTCGATTTCAAAAGAGGGGACCTTATAGGGTTGCCACATCGACTTACCTCTGCCGGCGGGGGGCGTTTGCTCCCAGCACACACGCGTGCCGCGTACACATCACAGGGAAGTGACGTCATGACGCCGGGCACGCTGGGGGCGGGGCACAGCCGTTTGAGGGGAAAACATAGAGTTTTCCCCTCAAATGGCTGTGCCCCACCCCCAGTGTGCCCGGCGTCATGCACGCGGGGGTGGGGTTTCTCCCAGGGGCCGATTCCGCGGGGGCGGAAATTGGACCTCCAAAGCGGGGGGAGATCCGCCCCCCGGGGGGATTTGGCAGCCCTAGAACCTTACAAAATCAGAAGATTAGCTAGAAGGGAGCCAAAAGGGGTACTCAAGAGTCAAATCTCTAGAGGATGCTTGGAAGCTATTTAAAACCACACTTAATGGAAGCCCAGATAGAACGCATTCCCCGGGGTTAAAAAAGAGACTGCCAAGTCTAAAGGGATGTCTGCATGGTTAACAACTCAAGGAGGCTATAAAAGGTAAAAAGTCTTCTTTTATAAAGTGAAAAGTATGCCCCAATAAAGTGAACAGAAGGAACACGGGGTCTGGCAAAAGTAGTGAAAGGCAATAGCTTTTAGACAAGGTACCTCACCAATGACTCCTGAGTAAGCCTATCAGTCATGGAATAAGAGGATGGGTCCTTTTCTGGATTAAATATTGGCTAAACAAAAGGAAACAAGAGTAAGAATAAATGGATAGTTCCCTCCAGGGCTTTTTTTGTAGAAAAAGCCCAGCAGGAACTCATTAGCATAATAGGCCACACCCAATAGCAGAAACCCATTAGCATATTAGGCCACACCCCTGACAGCACAGCTCATTAGCCTATTAGGCCGCACCCACATGTTACCAGAAGTGTGGTCATCCAGCCACACCCACCTTTTGCTTCTTATTCTGTTTACCTTGTTTGTTGTCAAAACCCAGAGCTTTTTTTGTAGCAGGAACTTCTTTGCATGTTAGGCCACACACCCCTAATGTAGCCAGTCCTAATGAGTTTCTGCTGTTGGGTGTGGCCTATTATGCTAATGAGTTCCTGCTGGGCGTGGCCAACTCGGGAGCCAGCCGGAACTCCGTTCCTGTGCGTTCCTGCCCCCAAATAGCCCTGGTTCTCTCAGTGGAGGCAAGTAAGCAGTGGGGTCCCACAAGGATTTGTATTGGGGCTGGGGCTATTTTATTTGTTCACACATCATCTGGAACTGGGGGTGAGCAGTGCAGTGGCCATGTTTCAGGCGGCACAAAATCATTCAGGGTGATGGAAACCAAGGCTGACTGTGAAGAGCCCTGGAAGGATTTTCACAAATTGGATGAGCGGAGGACAATGTGGCAAATGAACTCCAAGGTCAAACGAAGTGAAAGGTGATGCATATTGGAACAAAAAAAATCCAGCTTTAAGTCAGCCGAGTGTGCCACAGCAGAGAGAAAAGCAAACTCTGTTGAAAAGGGGGTTGAAATTGAGACAGCTAATATTAATGGGCCTGCGTACATCTGGGTGATGCATATTGGAACAAAAAAAAATCCAGCTTTAATGAAAACGTCAGCCGAGTGTGCCACAGCAGGGAGAAAAGCAAACTCTGTGTTGAAAAGGGGGTTGAAATTAAGACAGCTAATATTAATGGGCCTGCATACATCTATGGTATGGCCTCATTTGAAATTATGCACAGGTTGAGAGTAAGTGAACAAAGAACATTTCCCCCCCCCTCCCAAAATACTAGAACTCAGGGGCCTCTAATGAAGTTGATTCAGGACAGACAAAGGGAAATCCTACTTTACCCAACATGTGATTACAATCTGGAATTCCCTGCATTAGGATTTAGTGATGGCCACAGGCCTGGACGGCTTTAAAAGGAGATTAGCCAGATTCTTGGAGGATAGGTCTATCAGTGGCTAATTAGCCATGATGACTAAAGGGAGCCTCCACATTCAGAGGCAGTAACCTCTGAATTCCAGTGTCAGGAGGCAGCATCTGGGAACGGCCTTGACTTCTATGCCCTGTTGTTGGCCCTCCAGAGAAACTGGCTGGCCAGTGTGTGAAACAGGATTCTGGTCTGATCCAGCAGGGCTCTTCTGATATTCTTAACCAAGATGACAAACGTTATTTTGTGACCAGGAGTCTTAGCCGAGAATAGCACTCAGTCTCCAGTCTTGGCTTCTTTACAGGACTGGAGCATTTTCTGAAAATGAACTCAAAGTTAGAAACAACTGTATAGAATCTTCTTCAGGTGTAGTTGAAGTTTTCTCCCCACAACCACCACCCAAGAAGTGATTGTTAGGGTCATGTAACCTGTTGCAATTGGCTTCTGGCTTATTTTCCAGAACAACAAGAAGATCGCCAAGGAATTAGCAACGTGCCCTTACAATGCCCGTCACAGAGTTCCTAGGCAGGAGCTCAACTTACACATAGCCAGTTGTGAAAGCAAAATGGCTCAGGAGCTGGAGGAAGGTAAGTGAACATGATTCTTTAAACTTCCCTGCCTAAATGGGTATGGGTATGTGTGTGTGTGTAGCCAAACGCAAACCTGCTCAACAAAACCTTGGAAGTTTTCCCTATACGGGTATAACAGAACTAGATTAAGGAACACAGTGACTATGAGATATTTTGTCTGCAGCCAACTGTACTGAGCTTAGACTAAGACCCAGTGATCTGGATCCATCATACATGACAAAAGGAAGGATAAGGTTTCTTGAGAAACAGGGATATTGCTTCTGAATGGGCTTTAGTGGGTCTGTTGGAGAGGCTTATCGTGTCTTGGGGGAGGCCCCCCACCTTGGCTGAAGGGCAAGGGCAGCTGTATGACATGGTGTTGATCTTGAATGCTGGGAGAGAAGGAGGGGAGAAACAGAAAAATAGCTGTGAGCAGTGTGTCCCTCTAAGCTGAGTTAGTGTGAGTTAGCTCACGGTTTTTTAGCCTCCGGCTCACATATTTTTGTCTTAGCTCAGGGAGGATGGCTACAGAGCCAGCTAATTTATGCAGTCGCCAAAACACTCCCCCACAACTGTAATGCCAGTAGCTCACAAAGTAGAATTTTTGCTCACAAAACTCCACAGCTTAGAGGGAGCATTGGCTGTGAATTGGATGGAACCCCTGGGGGAGGACAGGATCTTTTTCTTTCCACACACATACACCAATCTGATGTGAGTGGCAAATGTGCCACTCCGTAGGAGTGTCTCTGTGGACTTAACTGTGCATGATATTATCCTTGCATCCTTCCCAGGTCAGCCACAAGGCCTTTCAATCAGACATGCCTTTTGAGTCCCATGCTTGGAACTCAGTTCCCAAATGCACAGAGGCCCAATTCAGATTGGGAGCAGAGCACCCTGGAAGAAGGGGATTCCCTCAATTCTAAATTTGCTGCACTGGAGAAACTGGCATGTACCGATCAACACATGTAGATTTCTTCAGTGGAACACGTGACAGCTCTTCAGACCTGTTTCAGGTCAGGAAAACGTTCCATCCCGGGCAACCGTGCAGCTGGGAATTTTCTGAGCACACAACTAAGAAGGCATGTCTGATTAAAATCTCTTCTGGACTTGGATAGGGCACTATCATCTAAGATACAATTCAGCCCTGTGCTGAATTGTTCTCTGCCTGTGTATCTGTAAATAAAGCAAATATTGCAGAAACGCCATAAGCCTCCACTAGGTAAGTGCTAGCCCCTGGAACCTCTTGCCACTTGAAGTGCATATGTAACTATTTCTTCCAGCTAGCATCAAAAGGACTGGAATCTGTGTATTAGATAGGCTTCAACTTGATAGGCTTCACCTTGGCTTAGCTTTTTAAGCAGATTACAGAGGAGAAAGGAGCAAACACTCCAGGACTCATAAGACTTGATGAGGAAAGGCTGAAAGAGTTGGGTATGTTTAGCCTGGGGAAAAGAAGGCTTAGAGGGGACATGATTGCAGTCTTCAAATATTTGAAGGGCTGTCATGTAGAAGATGGAGCAGATCTATTCTCTCTTGCTCCGGATTGCAAGACTAGATCTAATGGGTGGAAATTACAAGGGAGTCGATACTGGCTAAATATCAGGAGAAACTTCCTAACTGTAAGAGTGGTTGAGCAGTGGAAGAGACTGCCTCGGGAGGTGGTGGATGCTCCTTCGCTGGACGTTTTCAAGTGGAGGCTGGACGACCATCTTTTGGCTATGCTCCTGCAGAGTGCAGGGGGCTGGACTAGATGGCCTGCAAGGTCCCTTTCAACTCTAACATTCTATGATTCTGTGACTTCATGTCATAGAATGGGAGACCCAGGTTCAAATCCCCACTCTAGCATAGAAGTTCACTGAGTGATCTTGGTCCAGTTACACTGTCTCAGGCTAACCTAATTCACAGCTTTGGTGTTGGTGAGGATAAAAATGGAAGGAGGAAAGGAATGGTGTTGTAAACCACTTTGGGTCCCTGTTGTGGAAAAAAGCAGGGTGTAAATATCTAAATAAAGAGTGTTCCTTTAAGAGCTGTTACATCCTGCTAAAGATGAGAGCCAGTTTGGTGTAGTGGTTAAGTGCGCGGACTCTAATCTGGGAGAACCGGGTTTGATTCCCCACTCCTCCACTTGCACCTGGCTGGATGACCTTGGGCAAGCCGTAGCTCTGGCACAGCTGTTCTTGAAAAAGAGCAGTTTCTGTCAAGAGCTCTCTCAGCCCCACCTACCTCACAGGGTGTCTGTTGTGGGGAGGGGAAGGGAAAGGAGATTGTAAGCCGCTCTGAGACACCTTTGGGTAGTGAAGGGCGGGGTATAAATCCAATCTTCTTCTTCTAAACTAGCATAACACAGAATCATAGAGTTGGAAGGGACCTCCAGGGTCATCTAGTCCAACCCCCCCGCACAATGCAGGAAATTCACAAATACCTCCCCCACCACACCCCCAGTGAGCCCTGTTTCCATGCCCAGAAGATGGCAAAAAAGCCTCCAGGATCTCCAGCCAAACTGGCCTGGGGGGGAAATTGCTTCCTGACATCATGGATGACAGGATAGTGTTCCAAAACTAACTGAAATACAGGTCTGTAAGCAAAATGAGAGCACAATAAAAGAGGAAGTTTGGGGCCGGGGGAGGGGGCAGATATGGCATGGCAGTTGAGCTTAGGAGTCCCCAAGGTGATGTAGGGAGGGAAGGAGGAGAGGGAAGTAGATAAAGAACAGCCAAGGTGCACATGTGACCCGAGAGAAGATAAGTAAACATCCAATGTGCATGGCAGGGCCATATATGTGTTATGGCAAGGAGGCACGGCAAGCTTTGTAATCCTTCTCCCCTGCCTGGTTCTGGGGAGCAGGCTTCACGCCTTTTTATGGGGAAGAAACTTTTCTTTCTTTAAAAAACAAAAAGTCTGGATTTTTAGTGCCGAAGTCGCTGCACCCGGTCACAAATTCCACATTTGCGCAGCAGAGCACACAGGGCTCTCCTGAATAGTTCTCTCCTTAATCAATGGTATTTTCCTGAGTAGCACTCACTCAGCACACTGCTTAGCCCTGGTAAGTGGTGGCTTTGATTGAAACGGCAGAGTCTGTTTTGCTAGACAGAGCAGACCCCCTGGAGGAGCAGAGATGCCAAATAACTGCAAGCCCTAAAACAACCATATGCCGCAACTGTTAAGTCAAAAAGACAGGGATTGAAGGGTTCCAGCTGTAATGAAGGCAACCTAGCGCACTGTGCTGCAGTTTTGCAGTGCAAAAGGAACTGCAGAACAGAATGCAGCCCTGGCTGTAGGATTCAGCTTCCTGGGGAGTATTTTTAATAGTCCGTTCTTAGCCCTTGTGGCTCGAGAGAGAGGCTAGAAAAAAATCCTCAAACGCCAAAGGGGCTCCTGAACAATGCTCCCTCTAAGCTGTGGAGTCTTGTGAGCAAAAATTCTACTTTGTGAGCTACCGGCATTAAAGTTGTGAGCGAGCGATTTGGCTGCCGCATAAATTAGTTTGCTCTGGAGCCGTCCCTTCCTGAGCGAAGACAAAAACGTGTGAGCCGGAGGCTAAAAAACTGTGAGCTAGCTCACACTAACTCAGCTTAGAGGGAACACCGCTCCTGAATGAGATTTCCGGCTGATTGGAGATGGGGGTTGCAGTGCTCCCCTGCCTCTCTCTTCCCACCACTTCAAAAAAAAAAAAAAAGCCAAAAACACCCAGCAGCTCAGTTATGCAAGACAAGAAAAAAAGGGGGGGGGGGAATGGAGATTCCTTGAATTGCCTGACTTTAAAGGCTTTGCGGCACAGAATTTCAATTTTTAAAAACATAAAGAGTTGAATGCAGCCCTGTCCTACAGTTGCAATGAGAATCTGTTAGGAAAGCTTAATACAAAACCATGTTCTTTAGAGAGGAGGCTGTGAAAGGGTCTGTTGCAGAAGATCGGCTTATTTTAAAGGAAAAGTCCCGGGTCTAGGAGTTCATTTCGATTCTAAAATCACCCAATCGTTATTAAACGCTTTCTCGGGTGCTGGGAATTGGTTGGAATCCCTGGTGCACAATATGTGGCTCTAAAAAAAAAATATGATGGTGACTTGCCTGCCAGTTCAGCTCATGTTTTATCTGAAAATTGGGTCACTCTTTTTATGGGCAGTTGATATACCATCACTAGCTTGTTTTGTATAAAACAGGTGCATGTTAATTACCTGCACTTGGGGAGTGGGAATTTGGGCCTAAATCTTATGCCACTAACCTCAGCAGTAAAGATAACTCTCTCTTCCCCCCCCTTTTTTTCTTTTTTCCTTGCAGCATCCTTTAGTTCTCACAACAAAACCAAAGAGATCACTGCCTTTCAGTGTCCTCCATCCCAGGAAAACTGGGAGGCAGGTGAGCTAAATGCTAGATTGCACCATGCTTGTATCATAATGCTTTCAGGTTGAGAGACTACAGGGGCTGGATCCTGAGAACCTAAGAACCCTGCTGGATCAGACTACTGGTCCATCTAGTCCAGCACCCTGTCTCACACAGTGGCCAACCAGTTCCTCTGCAGGGCCAACAATGGGGCATAGAGGCCAAGGCCTTCCCTTAATTTTGCCTTCTGGCACTGGTATTTAGAGGTTTAGTGCCCCTGAATGTGGAGGTTCTCTTCCGTCACCATGGCCAGTAGCCACTGATAGACCCATCCTCCATGAATCTATCTAACCCCCCTTTAAAGATGTTTGTGCCTATTGCCCGTTGCAGCATCCTCTGGCAGCAAATTCCACATTTCAATCACTCCCTGTGTAAAGTTCTTCCTTTTATGCGCCCTGAATCTACTGCTCATCAGCTTCATTGGATATGCTCGAGTCCTAGTGTTTTGGGAGAGGGAGAAAAATGTGTCAAGTCTCTCCACTCCATGCATAATTTTATAAACCTCTATCACGTCCCCTCTTAGTTCTCTCTTTTCTCAACTGAGAAGTCAAAAGGTTGTACAGTGGGGGCAATTTCTGTCTCCTGCTGCAGCCCTCCACTCCCCCCCCCCATTGCTCTGGGCTGCCCCTTTCCCCTCAGGAGCAGCACTTCCAAAAGGTATTTGAGGCTGCTTTGGCAGGGGGTCTCCAAATGGGATCCAACCAGCGTCCTTGGTTTATGACAAACCTGTGTCCCCATCAACCCACAAACCTTGACGGTGTCGTGAACAACTCGAGTCACTTTAGCAGTTCTACTAGCCGTAAAAAAACCTCCTGAATTAAGCCAGTGTCCTGTTCCAGCCGTAGCCAGCCAGAAGCTTCTGAGAAGTTCACTAACCAGCAACGAAGACAACCATTCACCCATTTTTGTCCCCAGTACCTGCCCTTTTGGAGCTGCGGTGGCTCAAGTGGTTAAGACGCTGAACTGCAGGCTGTGGAAGGTCGGTAGTTCAGCAGTTTGAGACCCGAGTTGCCGCATGACGGAGTGAGCTCCCATCTCTAGTTCCAGCTCCTGCCAATCTAGCAGTTCGAAAGCAAGAAATTGCAAGTAGATAAATAGGTACCACTTTGGTGGGAAGGTTACAGCGTTCCGTGCGCCTTGGTTGTTAGTCATGCCGGCCACATGACCACGGAGACATCTTCAGACAGCGCTGGCTCTTCGGCTTTGAAACGGAGATGAGCACCGCAATCCTAGAGTCAGATTCGACTGGCTTTCGAGCAAGGGAACCTTTACCTTTTACCTGTCCTTTGCCCTGAGCTGGATAGCCCAGGCTAGCCTGATCTTGTCAGATCTCGGCAGCTAAGCAGGGTCGGCACTGGCTAGTATTTGGATGGAAGGAATACGAAAGTCGTGATGCGGAGGCAGGCCATGGCAAACCACCTCTGAACATCTCTTGCTTTGAAAAGCCTATGGGGCCACCCTATGTCAGCTGTGACTTGACGGCACTTTCCGCCGCCCCCGCCCCCGCCCTTCGGAAGTACAGCGTATGTGAACACGGTTGTTCCGTTTAGCATGGCTAACCACCATGGAGAGGTCGGTCTTCCAAAACAATGTGCAGGCCGTCAGGAGAATGCTGTTGCAAGGGCAACAGGAGCTGCAAAACCATGTGATGGCTCAGGACAAACCTGTAGCCTTTGTTTGTTAAAAGTCTATGAAATCTTTTATTGAACCGTAGGGGGGGGGGGAACCCAACACTGCTGGACTGCCTGTTTGAAACAGTCCTTAAAGCAAATCCAAAATGGAGTCCTGATGGTCCTAACTCGTGAACTAACACGAGGAAGAGGGGGAAGCTATGGAGGAGGTACCATGGCTCACTGGTAGCGCCGCATCTGCTTGGCATGCCGAAGGTCCCCCAGGTTCAGTCCCCAGCATCTCCAATTAGAAGGACCAGGCAGGAGGGGATGTGAAGGACTGCACCCTGAGACCCTGGAGAGGTGTTGCCAGTCTGAGTAGACAATACTGACCCTCATGGACTGGTTCAGGACAAACCTGTAGCCTTTGTTTGTTAAAAGTCTATGAAATCTTTTATTGAACCGTAGGGGGGGGGACCCAACACTGCTGGACTGCCTGTTTGAAACAGTCCTTAAAGCAAATCCAAAATGGAGTCCTGATGGTCCTAACTCGTGAACTAACACGAGGAAGAGGGGGAAGCTATGGAGGAGGGACCATGGCTCACTGATAGCGCCGAAGGTCCCAGGTTCAGTCCTTAGCATCTCCAATTAGAAGGACCAGGCAGGAGGGGATGTGAAGGACTGCACCCTGAGACCCTGGAGAGGTGTTGCCAGTCTGAGTAGACAATACTGACCCTCATGGACTGATTCAGTACAAGGCAGCTTCATGTGTTCAGTTTCTCTTGATGCACTGAGTCTGGATAATTGTGTTCGGACCACTGTTAGACAACCCCCCCTGTATGTGTGCCACAGCAGTGCTCCAGGCAGTTGTCCTTGGTGGTCGAAAGTGCTATCAAGCTTCAGCCAACTCACGGAGACTCCATTGGGTTTTAAAGGCAAGAGACTTAACAGAGGTGGTTTGCCACTGTCTGTCTCCGCGTAGTGACCCCGGACTTGTTTGGTGGTCTCCTATCTAAATACTAACCAGGGCCGACCCAACTTCGCTTCTGAGATCCAATGAGATCAATCTAGTCTGTCCTTGGTACATGAGACTAATTCTCTAACCAAGCATCCAAGGCACTAGCAGAACTGCCATGGCTGGCGGCATGGGAGAAAGCAGCCGGCAGGAGTCATGCCCATCACCTGGACCCACACAACCAGGTCTGAAACAAGCCCCTGAGACACTGGCCTTACCAGTGGGGCTCAGCTTATACCCAGTATGTCTGGACACACTGTACATCTTTCCCCTCTCATCCTCGTCTTGTTTGCCAACACATGAACACCTTCACAGGAAGACGTTGCATTTTTTTCAGCATTCAGGCTAAAAAAGGTGCTTATCTCAATTCTGGAGCCAGTTTGGTGTAGTGGTTAAGTGTGCAGACTCTAATCTGGGAGAACCGGGTTTGATTCCCCACTCCTCCACTTGCAGCTGCTGGATGACCTTGGGCAAGCCATAGTTCTGACAAGAGTTGTCCTTGAAAGGGCAGTTCTCAAAAGAGCTCTCTCAGCCCCACCTCCCTCATGGGGTGTCTGTTGTGGGGAGGGGGAGGGAAAGGAGTTTGTAAGCCGCTCTGAGACTCCAATTGGGGTATAAATCGAATCTCTTCTTCTTTCTGGGATTCTACACAGCGTGTTGCAAAAACGGGTCCCTACGTCTGAGTCTTTCCTCTCCCCAGCCCTGATTTCTCTAAATTAAAAGGCATAATAAACCCCCATTCTTCCAGCTGAGCCTAATCTGTCTTTTTTTTTTTAACTCCCTTCCCCGCACCCCAGATGCTGAGGAGTTTCCTGCTCGCCCTTTTGTGTTTGGAAAAAGGTGAGTCGAGGCTTTCTCCTTCTGGAGCATGGGTAGGCAGTTGTAGCTTGGCGAGCAAATGGCACACGCCCATCCCTGGATGGAGCCCCCAGCTGCTTGTAAAAGAGGCACTAGATTCCCCCTGCTGATGCTTAGAACACACAACGGCAATTGTACTGCTCCGTACAGTAAGCATGGCTTGAATCTCAGTGCTTAGTGAATCATTTGCTTCAAATAAAGGAAGAACTGCTTCTGTGCAATTAACTTCACAGTTGATTCAAGAAGGATTTAGAGGCCTTAAAAAGAGGTACAGTGGAAGCAAAGGCTGGGGGGGGCGGGCGGATGTTTAACATTCCAAACCAATGTTAATATGGAGGGCTGGATTCCAGATTTAATTTTGCAATGCAAATGGAAACTTTCCTGCAGCCCCCCCCCCATCTCCACAAAATGCTGTTCCTGGGTAACAGGGGACCTTGAGGAATTACACAGGGGGGTGTGGTCTACAGCTGGAAGGGGGAATTGGACGAAACTGCCCATTTGGTGTAGAGAGCCAGTTTGGTGGTGTGGTTAGGGATGCGGACTGTAATCTGGGAAAGCCGGGTTTGATTCCCCACTCCTCCACATGCAGCTGCTGGTGTGACCTTGGGTCGGTTACAAGTTCTCTCAGAGCTGTTCTCTCAGAGCTCTCTCAGCCCCAGCTACCTCACAGGGTGTCTGTTGTGGGGAGGGGAAGGGAAAGGAGATTGTAAGCCACTCTGAGACTCCTTCAGGTAGCGAAGGGCAGGGTATAAATCCAATCTCCTCTTCTTCATTTAGTCTGGATCCGTCCCATAATAGCCAATTTCTCAGTGATAAGAGGTGCAATCTTATGCAGGGTTACCCCAATCTGAACTCATTTAAGTCAACAGAATGGAATAATGCTGCATCGGATTGTACTGTAAAACCTCCACCTCTCCTAGTTGTAGAGTTGTATTGGACAAATGTTTTTTTAAGTTCAGACGTGTCTTTATCAGGGAGACGGCCATTACATGTGAGCGCCAGTGTGGCATAGGGGTTGGAGTGTCAGAACAGGCTCTGGGAGACCCAGGTTGAAATCGGAACCACATTCTGTCATGGAAGCTTGGTCCAGTCACATCCTCTCAGCCTAACCTATCTCAACAGGGTTGTTGTGAGGCTCCAGTGGAGATGGGGAGGGAATGTTGTAAGCCACTTTGGATCCCCACTGCAGAGCAAATGGGGATATAAATGTCATAAATCAATGAGCCTAGGAGAAAAATGCTGGGGATGGGGCTGCATGGTTCCCCCTGCTTCAGTGGTCTGGACAGGAACCATGGGGCTTCCATTGTAACCTGCAAGAATGGTGGGACTAGGCATTGGGTTGGATCAGGGGTCATTTCCTGCGGGAGCGCACAGGAGTGGAGCTCCGGCAGTAAGGAGCCCAGGGGGCGGGCCCATGCAACAAG